AATCTCAATCCTAGCTTCGCATTTTCTGGTTGTTGCCAAGCCATCTGCTCTGCACCTTGGCAGGAATTCTACAATGATTGCATGTTTTGGTCGTCCAAGCATGTTTGGCAGGTTGCTTTTCTTAACCATGACCAGCTTTTTAAATTCCTCTACATGTAAAGACGACTTTCCTCTTAATCTTCTGCTCATGACCATAATCCTCCAAATAAAAAAAGCTGCCCCAGATAAATATATTCTTCAGATCTTTCATACTTTTCCATTTACCAAGATATTTTCTCCCTTGAACTGAAGCAGTATGTCAGCTTAGTCTTTCCTGTACTCCTCTTTAATCCTCATTCCTTGCTTGCTAGATACAGGTCATTTAACAATCCTATAGATAGGCAGTGATTTTTAAAACCTTATCTGTAAACTGCAGATTACTTTGGTTCTTTCCAAATCTCTCTAGATAAAGCCTAAAAACTTTTCCTAAGCTTGTAGAGAAGATTTAAGAAAGGCTATATATGCATAAAAATGAGGGCATTATATCCTGTGCCTTTCAAAGACCGTATCCCATAAATCTACAAGTTTCCAAATATATATTTTTCATGTACTGCAATAGTGGTTGTTTGCATGCAAATGAGGCAGAATTCTGACAGTGACAAAAGCCATTTTTGAGGAATTAGGGAATAAGCATCTATCTTTAAGTGCGCATTAAAAGCTGTTCACTCTTCCATTTGCCAAAGTTTAGGTGCTGTTGTCTTACTTCCTTTTCACAAGCATGTGAGCAATAAAACAAGGCACTCTTTTGCTTATAATACAAACCAATAATTACTTTGTTTATTGCAGAAGATGGAGGAGCTTCTCATGATGGTGAAGAGCTTCTATTCTATCATGAAATACTTCCTTATTAGTGCAAAGTGCACTTATGAACAATAGTAAAGCAGATACTATGGCCTGCTGTTTTGCCTGCTACAGAAAAACTTAGCATTTCTGCTCCCACTTGCATTACTTCTTTCTATACCATCTTTTTTGATCACAAGCATATTAGTCAGATGGGTACTTACATTTAAAGTGCATTTTTTCATCATGATGACAAGGTTTTTGAAACAAGCCTGTTACTCATCTCTGAAACCAAGTTTCCCTAGGTTACTTACACTTTATGGGAAACAAAATGATGCCTTACACATTCTGAATAGTGCAAAAGCATATCCAGGCAAAACTAAGACATCAGGTGATAAGAGGCTGTCATTACTACGAAGGTAGAACAAGATCATTTTTACTATGTCAGTAAATCAAATAAAGTGTAAGCAATGTACAAGTGACTCCTTTTTCTTGGTATAGTCTTAAAAAATTTAATATAGTCTTTGTTTGAGACAGACCTTTAAGGAGAACTCCTGCATATCTACAGTCAACATAATTCAGTTTATGGGAAAGCAATTCAAATACTGTTGTGCTTCATATAAAGAAGCAACCTAAATGCATATATTACCTCTGTTTCAATTGTGCAGTTATGCTGTGTTTTCCTTCCTTGTTACACACAACTGACAGAATCATACTGCAGGACTTTGTTTCAGAGTAGTAAATTCCATTTCTGTTTTCTTGTCCATTTTTTTCTTTCTTAAGTAGAAAAGTCCATAAATGCAAGTCATATTGGAGCTGATAGCATCAGTACTGAAAATACCAAAAATTATACTAGTTCTCACTTACGACTTGTAAAGCCCCAACATTATGGAAATCATGTACGGAAACACAATTCCTTTAACTACTTACTTTTTCTTGGTTTTAGTCTTACTGTTTACTAATTTTCTTTCTATCAGTATTTTTGTTTCTGAGCTTTTTATTTCTGCATCAAGTAAACACAGCATTGGCAACCACAGTGATTCAAACACTGCTCTTAATGCAGTCAGTGAAATGGCTCTTACCATCTTTGCCCTTGCTTTTTCTTTAGCATATCTTGAATGATACAATGACACAAAAAGCCCCTTTTCTGTGGTTTAGCTTTGTTAGTTATTTTAAAAGCAACATAACACCTAACACCTACTATCCTATTTTCATTCACTCATAAAAATAACTTTATCAGAAGTTACTTGCATATATTTGAGAACAAAATGTTTTACAGAATATTAGAGTCATATGTTGAACTATTTGTTGGAGGGAAGTCACATGGATTAAAATACTTTTCTCCACAATTAAGTGGATTAAGGACTTTTCCTTTATGGAAAGAAAAATCAATTAGTACTTCATACGAAGAAGTCACTTACTATAGGAAGCACTAACAAATTCTGCATATCAAAACCTTAATGAGTTATTTACACTTTTCCCTGCAGCTAATAGAGTTAAAGTTTGAGAAGTTTGATGTGGAGAGAGACAACTACTGCAGATATGACTATGTCGCGGTGTTTAATGGTGGGGAAATCAATGATGCTAAAAGAATCGGGAAGTACTGCGGTGACAGTCCACCAGCGTAAGTAACTTTCTTGAATGATGAACTTCACTACCACTATGTGTCATTTTGCTAACAGTTCTGTACTAGGCTTCTGAAATATGTTTATTCTTTTTAAAATTAAATATGACATTTGCTACCTCCAATTGAACTTCTAGGAGTTGCTTAGTATCTTGTCTCTCCCTAGGTTTTCCCTTTTCTCTCTCCCTCCATGACTAGCCCTGGCTACAACCATGTTCTGTCCTGTCCCTCAAGCCTCATTAGAGCACTGGCTAATAACACCAGTACTAATGCTAACGCTATTAATATGGGTTTAATACCAATATTAATGGAGGCTGAACACTAATATCACTTAATATGTGTGTTTTGACTATAGATACTGAAGTGTGAGGATCCAGCTGACCTCTCTAGCCCCTTGGCTCGTTACTCACTTTATCTGACTCCTTTCCCCCTCAGCTGTGTCCCTTCTGCTGGTTCCCTGGCTGCTCCTTGCATCAGTGCTTACCATCTCCTCCATCTGTGCCAAGGCACCTTCCTTCTCTCGTGGCACAGACTGCTTTCCTGAGCATGCTGAGTAGCGCAGCAGGCTTTCACCAGCTTTGCTGTCAAATTGCTGCCCCCGAACCCCCTCAGCACTGCCCCCCCAACCACCCCTATCCCCCCGAAACCACCCCACCCCCCCAAGCCCCCCCCCCCCGCCCCAGCCAATGGCACTGTAACTATATAAACAGGTCTAGAAATAGTGGATCATAATTATTCCCCCAAAAAGCGTAAAGTTTTTTGGGTGAGGCTAGTAATTTTTAGCTCTCCTTTCCCATTGTTCCTCTTCCATGAAGCTTCTTAAAGCTGAGTAGCTTTAGAAGATGAAGAGGATGCATTTTGTTTCAAGAAATACAAGCTATTAAAAAAAAAAAAAAGTACATGGAGGTGTGTGACTAGACTTATGTCTGAGAAGTGGCAGCTAGGTTGATTTTGATTCCCAAGAGCAACTAATTGTGGTGCAGGGGGAGGAGGTGCATGCCTCAGTCTTTCTAAGGATAGCTTGCTAGACTGAGATTTACTGTGAGGTTTTTTTGGGTTTTTTGTTTGGTTGGGTTTTTTAAGGTTATGTAGTATACCCTGAGGAGACGAGAGGGGAGGCAGACATTTTGTAGGACTCTCTTTAAAGATTTTTCTTCTCCATGCAGCAGCTATGCAATAGCATGACAGTGCTAAGAACAGAGTAAGCTTAGGCCTACGGAAATTTATTAGAAATTCAGCAAGAATTTAAGGAAGGGTAGGGCTGCACCTGAAATACATTAACTTCAGTTTCCTTCAGCCACCTTAGGCTTTTGGTCTTGAGTTACCTTTTCTTTTTTCTTTCTTTCTTCCTCTGCCCAATTTGAAACTTTCTTCATAAAGACATTTCTTTTCAGGCTTACATTAATTTCTTTTCAGGCCCCCTTCTCCCAGTAAAGTTAAAAAAGCTGCTCTATAAGAAGATACTGATAACAGAGAGTCTTATGGGTAAGACTGTTCTTTAAGTGCTAGGTAATTCAGGCCACTAAAATGATGCAAGAGGCTAAATTCTAGCTGTAGTTACATACATAATCACTTCCTTGTTTTCAGGAAAAGCTTCACTAGCAAAAGTAAACTATCTTTCCATATTGTCTCCAACCCAAAGGCTGTGAGATGGCGGGAGATTCGGCAAGGCAGAGTTAGTATTGAGTCCTCCAGGCAAGGAGGGGGGCTAGAAATCTTGGACATTCCTTTCCACCTCTTTGCCAAATGACATTCAGAATTTTTCCATTTTTGCCTCATGTATGTATTCATAGCAAAGTGTCTTCATACTTTATAGCTTAGACCTTTACCTGGAAACTAAGATGAATTGTTGCCTTGCAGTGCTGTGGCATGTGGAGTAACTGCAGATGGACTGAATGGGTCTCCAAATGGGTGATATGTTTCTTTGACCTGAACGTTGTAAGCATCTGTATATATTAGACAACAAATCACCATCGTCTGAAGTAAAAATACCCTCCCAAAAGGAATTCTATTGCAAACACTCCTCTTCCTTTACACAGAATAAAAAAAGCAACCAGCAGATGACAGACGTTAGTTACATTACTTAATACTTTATCACCAGGTAGACAGGCATTCCACTGATTGAGCATAGCATGAGAACCTCCTTGTGACTTTGCAGATCCATCCCTTACAACTCAACTGTTACTGCAGAACAGTAAGGTATTTACCTTCAAGCTACTGTAAAAAACACCAAAAAACTAACAGAATCTCGTATTAGAAACACTTAACTAGTGATGTTCCATACAAATACCTTCCATTCCTGTGTTTTGGTGAGTGCAAGTTGGATCCAAACCACTGGAGCAAGTGGACTTGCTTCCTGGTTGAACAGAGTTTAAGCCAGAAGCATGATTAGAGTCTAGTTTGACTCACTCTGTACGCTGTGGTATTTCAGACCTTTTCCAACTGAGGTAAGAGCTGAACTCCACAAGATCTTGTCCTTCCCTTCGTTCTCAGAAGGCAGCAGTGAACACCACCCCTTACAGATGAGGCTGGTTGCCTCCAGTCCCTGGGACATAGCTGCCTCTTTCCAGCTAAAACCTAGCCCAGCTGTGCAAGTACATTTTGCACTGTCAGGATCTGGTCTTGGCTGACAGGCAGTGCAAAAGGAAGAAGTGCCAGTTAGCACCTGAGAGGCAAGCAGGAGTAGCTTCCTAAACCACCTCTCCACTGTGGGTCGGCACCTATCCCCTCAGCATGTCAAAGCTGTAAATCGGTCTACCAAATCCTAGTGGGCTTCAAAATACAGATATTTTAGTATGGACTTTGTGCAACAGACAAATAAGGGCAGAATACTGGGCTCAGACCCAGGCCACATAGCTTAGAGATGAGATTTCCTGTTACAGAACGTAAGAAGTGTCCTGAAAGCCAATTTTAAGATAGCATTGCTTCTTAGCCAGACATCCAATATAGAGCTTGAACACAGTCACTTTCCCTTGCAGAGCTGTATATAGGCAGCTTCTATATCCAGTGAAAGGGGGAAAGTATGGCTTTTGGGCATTTTCCACTAGCTCTGCAGAATCCTCATCATAATTTATCAGCTGGGTTCAGAAAAACAGTAAGGACAAGACCAGTGTTGTAGAAGAACCAGAAATCACGGTGTGTAAACTGAATTGTGAAGTAAGCCTTCTATAGAGTGTTAGTTGTGTGTCTGACACAGTAATTACACAAGGTGGAACTCATTAACCAGCAGATACAGATAACGTAACGTGGCGTTCTGTAACAGAAACAGCGTACATCAGGTATGAGTGAAGTGGATACCTTGAACTCATTTGGTGGTTGCAGAGATGAGTTCAGACCTGACTGCAGACCAGCAAGCATACAGTGTAACCACATACCCGATTCCTAAATACAATTACTATGACACATAAATTAATGGTATACATAATAATCAGAATTTATTTGGAGAAGTAATTACTCAAAAAAACCCCTGCCTCTCAGACAAAAAGCCTTTTTAAAAAAGACAGGATACACGGACTAGGTCAGATTTTTCCGATTTGGTGTGGTAGTCCTGGTGTTCAGGAGGCAGAACAAAGCTGTCAGGCAGCTGGTACCAGTGCCCTCCTGCGTCCACAGCCTGCGTCAATACTGCAGCAAGAAAAGCGTAATCTGTGCAACTACCGCGGCATCTATAGATCTACAGAATTCCAGATAACCAGGCACGCACTTTTGGCTATGTCGGACTCGGCCATGAGAGTAAACTGATTTCTGAAACACCTGCCAAAAAACTGGGAGATGATCACAAGTTTTTACTTTGAAGGCCTGATTAAGTGTTTTGAAGAACTCCTGCTCATGAACTCTGTCAGACTTGCTGGGAAGAAACAACACAGTCATTTTAGTAAAACTACATCTTAAAACCACTTTCTGTTTTCCTCTCTCCTCAGCAAGATTCCTTTGCCCCTATATTTGTTTTTCTTCCTCCTTCCAAAAAACTGTGTTTTTGCTTGAAAAATTTCTGTTACTAATGATTAATGAATATTGAGACAAGGTCTGCAGAAAGCTCAAAAGAATGAGAGAAGTGCTGCTTTGGCCAGACTTGCATTCCGTATGATTTTCTCTAACAGTAGTCCTGAAGGAAGTGTCATCGCACTACATCCACATCCAGAGGCAGTTAGTGTCACAGAAGGTACTGTGCAGTTTATGAACTGAAAACTAATGCACTGAACAGTGCTTGGTTATGACATTTCAAATCCTAAGAAAGTAACTCCATTAGCTCTTCAAGGCCTTGGTAATGAATATCCAATCATTGACAAAAACTGAGCCCACAGAAGTAAGAACCCAACACATTTTATTTTTAGTGTTTTTGTCAAAGAATTACAGAATCCAAAATTGAATTAATTTTCTTAAGGCCCTCCAAATGCATAACATGTTTTTCATTAAACAAAAACAAATAAATAAATTTTTAAATTTACTTACCTCTGCTACATACTGAGGATTTCTTAGATATATTTTCCCGCTGTGCTAATCTAGCCCCTTCCATTCTACGGAAGTGGTCTGCAATGAAGTTACACAGAAGAATTTAAAGATACTCATATTGACACAACCTTCAGGAATCAGATGTTTAGATGGTTCATCAGAATGAGTTTCACGCTCTTAACACCAGTGCCTGACGTACCAGCAGAGAAACATGTATTTCAGTATTAGTCTGGGGGCAGATACTGCATTCAGACCAATAACTAAAGTGAAGCACTCTCTCTTTTTTTGTAAGAAGAATGCTATTAATGCTTTTTGTCTTTGACATTCAAAACAATGAAAATTTTTTTTCTTCTATTTCAGGCCTATTCTGTCTGAGAGAAATGAGTTGCTCATTCAGTTTTTGTCTGATTTAAGCTTAACAGCCGATGGTTTTATTGGCCATTATAAATTTAGACCAAAAAAGTTACCCACAACTACAGTTCCACCTACTACCACAACAGTCCCTGCTACCTCAAGTAAGTTTTACTGGCTTTATTTTATTTATTAGAAAAATTAATTATTCCAGAACAAGGAGAGGGTTACAGAAAAATGTCATAGAAAGTATATTAAAAATGACAGTTTTATGGTTTGTTAGTATTTCAAATGTTGAGAGAATGAATTAAAATTAATATACTCAAGGGAGTCTCCTAATATACTCAAGGGAGAATCTCCTTAACATCTTAACATTATTAAAAGGAAATCTATCCAGGCTAGAGTTCAGGGTAACAGTAACTCGCTCCAGCTGAGAGAATTTTCCTGTCTCTTCTCAATTTCTGACAGTTAACTAGCAAATGCCATAGAAGAATAAAATTCTTTTGTATAAGAAGCTCTAAATATTTTAGGAAATAGTTTTATTTAAAGGAAGTCTTTATTCTATACAAGTTAATATGCAAAGATCTGACTATATTTTTCTTCATATAGTTATTAAGATCAAGCAAAATTGGTATGGAAGCCCTCTTCAGATTCTGTCGACATCCTGTCAACATGACACTCTCCTAGAATTATTTTCATTTTAAAAAATCAGGGATTGGAACTTATAAAGAAATATGTCACACTACAAATAAGTTTCCTTTTATATTTAAGACTAGGCAGCATATATGAAAGATCAGAGGAGGATTTCTCTGAAGGTATTGCCAAAACTACCTCATTACTGAGATATTGAAGGGATAAATTCTTATAATTCTTATAACCTGAATGTGAGAGGTTTAAGATACAGTTATAGCAGAAAAACAAATTATTTATGATGTTCTTGCAATGCATAACCTGATTTGTACTTAAAACGCATCAAAAGGCAGGACAGCGATGGCCTGCCAGCAGGAAACCAAGAAGCTGTGGTGCTTAAATACTGATAATGAAAGGTATTTAAAATAGATGAAAATAAACATTATAAAAGTGAAATCATAATGATATTTAAATCATTCTGATGTGACTGCTACCCTAATAATAAATAATTCAGCTTTTCTTCACTATAAAGCACTTCTTAATGAAGTTCTTAGTTCAAACACTTGGTCTCAAGTAATCCAGGCTGTCAGCTATCTCACGCTGCGTTTGTGTGCAGGGTTTTGCCATTGAGTTTTGCTCTGTGAGCTGTTTCTGTGTGCACATGCAAAAGAGGTGTACTTTACTAATTAATTCCAAATCAATATTTATGACAACATCACTGTTAGAAAAAAAACAATGCAAAGTCATCTGAGAGAGGACAACAGAGGGAAGGTGTTCAAAAGGACTTGTTAGGTAGACAGAAATACGAAGTCTTTTCAATGTCTGATCAATTATGCATGGTGTAGGTGTTTCTAATCTTAAAAACATACCAAAGCACACCAAACCTCTACAGTGTAGTTAAATTTCTGATGAATCATTTGCATTCAGAAGTGTCCAGTTCAAATAGACTTAGCTTATTATCTTGCAAATCAGACCTATTCAAACTTGCACAGAACTGCAGGCATTAATAAAATATTTAACTTTAGTAGGCACTTTCAAGAATTACCTCAGTCCCTACTTACATAAAAATATTAGTACTTGAAGAAATAAATAAATGCTATACAATACATTAATAAGAGTAGTTATTGTAGTTTAGCCCCAGCCAGCAACTAGGCACCACGCAGCCGCTCACTCACTCCCCCTGCCCCGGTGGGATGGGGGAGAGAATCGGAGGAGTAAGAGTGAGAAACACTCCTGGGTTGAGATAAGAACAGTTTAAATAAAGTCGAAATGATAATAATAACAATATAATAATAAAAGTAATAATGATATACAAAGCAAGTGATGCACAATGCAATTGCTCACCACCCGCCGACCAATACCCAAGACAGTTCCCGATCAGCGATCCCCCCTCCCTGACCACCCCCCCCAGTTTCTATACTGAGCATGACGTCACATGGTATGGAATAGCCCTTTGGCCAGTTTGGATCAACTATTCTGGCTGTGCCCCCTCCCAGTTTCTTGTGCACCTGGCAGAGCATGGGAAGCCAGAAAGTCCTTGACTAGCATAAGCAGTACTTAGCAACAACTAAAACATCAGCGTGTTATCAGCATTCTTCTCCTACTAAATCCAAAACACAGCACTATGCCTGCTACCGGGAAGAAAATTAACTCCATCCCAGCCAAAACCAGGACAGTAATGAAGATTAATCCAATACATATGGTTAAGTAACTGATTTTCTTATTTCATTGGATCAAGTCATACATTTGCCTGTCAATATGGCTACATGTAAAAGGGTACAAAACTAAACTTTTAATTCAGTTCTTCTCCAATTCATATTTTGCTAAAATACTGTACTCGTCTGTACCAACAATAGGCAGCCACAAATCATAGTGAAGTTAGTCACCAACTAAAATTTACTAAACTCAAAAGTACAACGTGAAGTCTTAGCACAAAAAAACCTCTGAGAGGGCCAGACCAGAACATTTTGTAATGCATAATCTCAGTTTTAAATTTAGAAAAATCAGAGCAGCTCAATAAATTTTTGGCAGCTACCATACCGGCATGCACCTGTGAGTCATCTACCTGCTACATTTCTTATCCTCCTGCTACGGACACTGAATTGAAAGACTCAAGGAACATTAAGTTCTTATTTTTTGCGCTGCATGTAGCATTGAGATAGGAGGTACTTGCCTGACCTAGCAACTGACACTGTGAGACAGGAAAACTAACTAAATGGCATGGCAACTTGCCAAGCGCTAACTGTAATTTGAAATAATAATTTGAAAAATTATCATGTAGTTTAAAGTTCTAGGAGCTGAATATAGTGTATTATTTCTACACTGTATTCTACACAGAAGTCACTTTATAAAAAGCAACTCGGCATATAATTAAAAATAGAAATATACACCAGTACGCAAGAACTGTGCAGGCACATCAAGGCAGCAGAAGTGATGGCGGTGGGAGTGTCACTCCCGTCACCATGTAGATCTGACTGTAGGACTGAGGCTACATGAGGTAGAAGATGACTAGATATGCCTCCGTAGACATAGTGACTTGCTCTTCAGAACACTTTTCCTTGTGGGAGGCATTTAATTTCTAAAGAGTCACACTGAATACCAATCATGTGAAGACTGAAAAAAAGCACAAACAACCCCAAATCAATGAAAAAGATGGGGTACAATTTTTAAACTTTGGATTCGAAAGGCGAAACAGTGAGTATGCAGATCTTCTAACAGTCATGGGCATAATACTGGAGACTAAGTAATTTTAATGCCATTCAGCTGAATCTCAGAAACTCAGAACATTATAAAAAGAATCAATTCATTCAATTAAAAGTACAAGTGTAAATTACTGATTGGAAAATTAGTCAGAAGTTCTTTTTCAGAAAGTATAGGCTGAGTAAAACTTCTGCAAAATGCTCCATTCTAAAGAAAGTTAAAAAAATGCAAAGATATTCTTCATAGCTAATTTAGGTTTTCTTGAAAGTTAGGGTTATGTAGGGGTTTGGGTTTTTTTAATCTGTCCACCTCAGCTCCATGTTTCCAATAGTTATAGAACCATAGAATCATAGAATGCTTTGGGTTGGAAGGGACCTTGGTCATTGACCAATTCCAAATGAATTTGAAAAGGACATAAAAACCTTAAAAATACTGCATCCCGACATGTTATGTAGAAAGGGTTAGCCAAGTAAAGTACAGAGCCTACTAACATTCACCCAAGGAGGAAAAAAATACAAAGTGTATCCACTTGTTTATAAACAAAGCATTCTGTGTCAGAAAGGAAATGTCAACCCCTAATATTAAATAGGCACTTCAAACACTATGTTGTGTTTCAAAATGTCATCAGTAAAAATCATACAGTACTACCTGTCATGAAGCTATGCGGAAAATTTAGAAAAAGAGTCAGGAATTTGAACTCTGATCTCTTCCATCACAGTACAGTAATTTCAGATAAAAGGCCGCCCCCGCCCTCTGAAGTGTTACTGTAATATAATGTTATGATACTTTAAGTGTACTACTAGGGCTGTATGGCAACAGGCAACAACACTTAAGATCACACTGCAATCAAAATGTAAATTTTGTGTAACATCCCATTCTATAAGGTCATTAGAACAGATATGTAGCTGAGACACACATGAAAAGATGATGACTGGAGGTGGCGGCAGAGAAAAGCAATCTTGTTACCGTGGTGTTCATCCCTTGTGATACCAGATCTAGTTAATGTATACATCAGGATTATTCATCTCTCTTTTTTTTTTTTTAAACATACTGCTTTGCATTTGTATCAAATACCTCATTTCAATTTCAATTTATTTTTTGCTCTTCAAAAAGTTGTGAAACCTACCGTTGCCTTGTGCCAGCAAAAGTGTAAGAGGAGCGGGACTCTCGAAAGCAATTACTGTTCAAGCAACTTCGGTAAGGAAGCAAAGTTTCTTTCTTTTTAATTATTCACTCACCACTGTGTTTTTAGACTCATAGGAATTTTACCAGACGTAGTTCTGAGTCATTATTAATATACAGGACATATTTTTACACCGTCTTATGTGTGTATGGAACATTAGTATCCGTGTTTCACTCAATACATTCTTGGAGATATTCCGAAATAGGCACTGCACCTATGTCTCAAACATACTTTCCCAATCTGAAAAGCGCATGACAATCTAAGACAACGTCCTACAGGAAAAGCATTGATTCAATTACTGTATTGTCATCTCATTCGTCTGCAACCGGCCAATACAGATTTTATGCTGTACCTGCTGACTATTCCACAATTCAGTTTATAGACTTCCAAAATATTCTTAAAAGAAGTTAGAAGGCATGGAAGCTTACAAGCACTGCTTTCCGTACACAGACACAAATCGCTCGGGAAAAATGATGTCCGCTGTGTATTTGGATGGCATTATCATTGCTGATTTATTCAGTTACGTCTCAAGTATCTTCCCATATTAATACTGGAAGCTTTTTTTAATCCCCTATGACATGCCTAAAAATTTGATGGGAGGACTCCTCCTAACGCCCTTTTTGTTTGTTTGTTTGAATCTAACTCTAACTTTCTAGCTAATCCCATGAGATTGGAGGAAATCTGCTGTTTCAGGCAAGTGGGGACAGCTTTGCACCATTTTGCTAGAAACACAAGAGAGGGCTGTGGCTGTGCCCCGGAGCAGAATGGAGTCACTGCAGCACGACCCTCTCCCACTCCTGACCACCCCCCGGCTTTCACCTACAAACAGCATAGGCTGGCCCACACCCAAAAGAAGCTGAGCAGGGGGAGGCGGGAAAGGTCTCCTCTTACTCTTGGGGTTGATGGTAAATGACACTATATAAAACTTGTTCGTTTTCCTCTAGCATCAGGGTAATAAATCACATTCACTCTCACCTTTTGTCAAACGCTTGAAATTTTTCAGTCCTTTCCATGGTATAAGTAAGAGTAAAAATATTTTATATACACTGTGAGTGCAAGTGCGTCCTAAGGTAAGAACAGAAAGTGTGCTTTTTGTAGAATACGATGTATTCCAAGTTTATTTGCTGGCTCTATGAATTTAGAAAATAAGAGCTATTTCTCTTTCATCATGCATTTCAATTTTATTGTTCCTAGAAATATAACTGCAATACCCAGCATTCTAACATCCACAGTTCTCTTTTGATTGAACTTGAACATTCCCATTTAATTAAAAGCTCTGGATGAAATCATGATAATGTGCAAATCTACAAATGCCTAACCCAAAATGTGGATTATGCAGATTTGTAAAATAAATCCGACTGCACATACTTTATAACTGAAGATCTAATTGATCCTAGGACAGAATAGCTTATTTACAAAAGGTGATCTGAGAAGAAAAAAAAATTGCTAACACCATTTACCATTCCCTTTTGATAAATAAAGATGACCTACAAATTAATCTAGTCATCCTAGGGAAAAAACGGTATCTTTATTTTCATACTGAGAGGTCTTTAGGAGATATGGTGGTCTGATCTGTAGTCTAAATTTAGCTGAAATTGGCAAATTTGTATTGCTATCAGGCCACAGACAGATCAAAATCTAGCTCCTAGAGCATTAACTATTCCCTGCTACTCATTTGAGACTGTCAGAGAGCTGGGAATTCAGCTTTTGGCTAGAACATTTTCAATTCAACTCCTCCACTGTTTTAAAATTAGTCATTAAAAGTTGTGTCAAATTGTACCGTTTGACTGAAATTATCAAAGCCTAGAACTGGGCTTGCAAGAGACTGATACATTCCAAGAACAGTTTATATTTGATGCCACCAAAATTTGTCAGTACTGAGTTACCTATTACAGGTGATACCCACATGTTCAGTAACTATTTCCAGTATTGTTTGTTTCCTTATTATGGACTAATACACTTATTCAGTTTTTATGGTGCCTCAAAATTTATGTCCAAAAAATAATAAAAATGTATCAAATGTCTTTTCTTCTAGTAATAACTGGAACTGTAATCACAGCAATAACACGGGCTGGCAGCCTGCATGCAACAATATCAATCATCAATGTATATAAGGAGGGAAATTTAGCAATTCAACAAGCCGGCAAGAGTATGAGTGCCAAGATTATTGTTGTATGTAAGCAGTGTCCTCTCATCAGAAGAGGTAAGTACACAAAAATAATTACTTTGCATGTTTATAAAAGATGTTTTGAAAGCTGCTATTCAAAATATGACCACAAAAACGAGTAAAATTACAGTAATTGTTTCTATAATCAGCAACTAAGATTATAATCAATTTAAGAGAAAAATACCTAATTATCCAGTTTATATTGCATTTTTAAGTTTTACTTATAAAGGATTAGACTCACTTAGATCAAAGGAGTTTGAAAAAAAATATTTTTTTTAAACCCACATGATACAAAGTAAATTCAATGTGGTTCTCTCAAATAAAGCTCAGTTGGATTTTGTTTTTACATGTATGTATTTTGGATCTAGTTTTCATACACAGCTGTTTAGAAGGGAAAAACAACAGTATGCCAAACCTAGAAGAGCAGCATGTCACAGCAAATGACAAAAATCAACGTTTCCCGTTGCTTCCCTCCTGTATATATTTACATCTTTACCGTAGAAATACTAGTAGTATTAAGCCCACTCTGTATCTGCAAACAGCCAGTATTCTATAGCGCTCTCTCAAACAGTATTACACAGAGTAGATCAACCAAGATAATTTCCAGTTAAATGTAACAATGGGTACCTATATGGTGTTATAAGAAATACTGAGACTATGTTTCATTGAAGTAACTAAGTAAAATATAAACCAGTTTTCAGCTCTGCATCCTTGAGTAAACAGGTAGAACAGGAGAACATAAATGGAACCATAGCAGGAAACAGTCAAAATAATTAATAAGCATCAAAAAAACCCTGATAACATTCAGGATACTACTGGTATTTAAGCATATTAATTCAAAGTGGGCAGTACCAAAGTGAAAAATCCTTGTCAGAAACTATCTTTTTCTTTTATCTTTAGTTCTCTGGAAACTAGACACCTGTCTGGGAGACATAGTAATATCCTTGGTGGAACAAATTGTCTCCTTTTAGGCAGGCTGCTGGCTCCAAACCACACGCTTCTGTTTCTCTTCCTAAGTATCTATGAATTATTTAATAGCCATTACTTAATATCTAAACTTTTCTGCTTACGCCCCTATAACACCACTCCTTCCAGCCTAAGGCCTTGCAAACCCCTAAACCTTCTAAGCCATAAAAATACGCAAATCCCTCCGATCTCTCCAAAGCTGGGCTTATCACACGTTAAGCCCACCTTGTTTGCCTGACTGCCTCTCTAGATACCTAGAAAAATGTTTGTCTTTGGGGAAGGAAAAGGGAATGAGAAGGCTTGAGTGCATTATCCCTTGAGTGCATTATCCTACAACCTGAGCAAATGAGAAAATATCCAAAATGCATGAGACACATTCCACTTCGGGTATTAGTAGCTAAGTTACCTGGTGTTTATACTACATTTCTAATGTCTTTCAGACTCATTTGACAGTCTACATTTAATGACTATCTCCTATATATTTAATTATGTAGTAGATACTTAGCTGTGTATCTACTTGATTTTTACATAACTGTACCTTATTGTGTAACAATCATGGCAAAGACGGGTAAGGAAGAATACGCTTTAGGTAGGAAGGAAAAAAAGTTAGAAGGCATTGGTAACAGTGCAAATGAATAGAGACCACAGATAAAGAACTGTACTTACCAAATCACGTCCTGGATTTCTGTCTTGTAATATCATGCTCTCCTTTGTAGGTTTAAACTACATCATCATGGGCCAGGTAGAAGAAGATGGTAGAGGCAAAGTCTTTCCCAACAGCTTTGTCATGAGTTTTAAGACTAAGAACTCAAAGATCCTAAATGCCTTGAAAAACAAAACATGTTAAAACTAAACTCTGCAGCTACATTCTATCACCTCTCTTCAAAAATAATTTTCACTTACTATAAGTCATGAAAAGACAACTGACTGTCAACACTAAGACCATGCTCAACCTTTCGTCCCTCCCATCCACCTAAGCACACCCTGGCACAAAGTGGTATCTGTCACATGTACCTATGAAGACGAGAACAGATCCTCCTAAGTCTTACAGCTGAAGATTTGCAGCACAGCCATCTGATGTCAAACATAACCAAATTCCAATTACTTGGAAGCTCTTAATTTATAATTGTCCAATTTTTTAAGGAGTTGTGTGTGTAAAATAAGAATTCTAAGTGCAATATTTATAGTAACTCATTTTAACTTAGCTTCTTCTCTAAAGTTGTTTTATTACATGGATTTCTGCATTATTATCTGTGCTTAATAAAATATTTTAAGACTAAATCATACACCAACTAGTTACTCATTATGTATAAAGTGGGGCAGGCTAAACATAGAAACTCTTTTTTGATCATTTACATGCTTTTGATGGTTTGGGTCTTGCATAGTACGACTGACGGTACACTTCCTTGCTGATGAAAGGCCTGATTTTTCTTCCATTGAAGTCAGCGAATCATTGATTTGAACAGGAACTGGATTTACTCTTCAAAGAATTAGACAACTGTAAAACAGCACCATGCTTTTCTCTACTGATGACTATAATCTAGTTAGTAAATGTCACTATTAATTTCCATAAGGTAATTAGGGAGGAGGTAGGAAGGAATTAATTCAGTGGCAGTGAAGTACACATGCAAATACTTTAAATTTTTGTCTCTACTGTGAAAGGACAGACAATACAGCAACACTCAGTCTGGCACCGTAGTGTAAATAGTAGCATATCCATCTATTTATTTCATTCCTATATGCAAAAGGTTGAACAAGTAGCTATTTTAAGAATAAGGGAAGGAACAGACTGGAAGCAGTTGACAATGTTATAATGTTAAGAGATCTTTGTCAGGTCTGCCTGTTGTAGGCAGGTGTTTGTTGTTGAAACTGAAAGGCTATAACCAAAGACAGAGGAATAGAAACAGATTATAGGTAAAAATTAATACTGAGAAGTTGAAGAACATTTTGGTCAATCTTGAACACTAATAAAAATAACATGGATGGAACAAAATCTAAGATCCCTTTAAGTACTTGTTTTCCTTGTATATAAATGTGGTGTATGGTATATATGGTATATAAATACCATAGCAGAGTTCTTTTGATAATCTATAACCATGGGCAGGAAGCTGTAATGAAAGACAGAGTCCTTATTCGAAGTACTCATTGCTTATTTCAGTAATGGAACATGGATTGCCATTCTTCTTCAATTATTCTCGTATGTAATGCCAAGAGGTACTGCTACAGCACAACTCAGTAGCACAACAGCGTCTGTTCCGAAGACTTAACGGATAGCTAGGCAGGAGACAAAAGAATCAGAGGGAGGCACAAAGGTACAAAAAAGCTGTGCTGGCAGCTCCCATCAAACAGCTCAGTGCTGTAACCACACTGTACAGATTGCTAGGCCTTTGCCTTACTAAACCAAACAGCATTTCTCTATGGAAACGACAGCAACATTTGTTTGCAAAGCAGATGCAATTTTGTAATTTTAAATTTTTTAAATTGTAATTTTAATTTTCCAGTATTGATTCCTATGCAGATTAAGAGGTTTTATGCATGGTGCTCTCCGCATTTCTCAGGAGCAGCCTGGGGAGAAGCAATGTGGAAATCGTGCTCGGAAGTGTCTTGAACTACAATAATCTACTTTTATTTATGATGACATGACCATCTGTCATGCAGCTTTTTTCAGTGAGGCAGGAACAGTCTGGCAGCCTGCTCCTCCACTCCCAAATGACAGGTAGGGGAAGCTCCTG